CTATTACTATTATTATTACTATTACAATTACTTTTACTATTACTATTAGTACTAGTGAGACTACTACTCTTTATTTCAAATTGTTTTTATCCTATTAATGAATAGTGTTATTAGTGCTATTATTACTATTGGTATTGCTGTTACAACTATTCTATGATTATCATTTTTCGTCTGCTATTGTTATTATTATTGCTAGCATGATTTGTACTTTACATTGATTATGACCACTATTACCACTGGCAGGCAGGAGCACGAAAATTGGAACTGTGACTGCGCTGTTTGCAAAGCCAGGCCGTAGCAACAAAGTCTGAAATTTGCCACTTTTCCAGGCAGGCATGACCAGGACAAACCGAGTTGTTTGGAAATCTGTTTCTCAGATTTGAGCGGGAGGTTTCCACATTCACATCTCTGTTGCGGCCAGGCAGAAACAGTTGTGGTTTTTTGTGCTGCTACTGGTGCTTTCCGGGGCGGCTTTCTCACAAGCTTGAAATCACAAGCACCAACATGCCTCAAACTCCCAAACACAAGCACACAAACAACCGCAAACCCCAAAACTCCCAGACACAAACACAAAAAAAAACACAAAAATGCCACAAACTACTAAACACCCAAACACAAGCACAAAAAACGACAAACTCCCAAACTTCCAAACACAAGCGCAAAAAACCACAAACTACAAACACCAAAATAAGCGACAAACTACCAAATTCCCAAACACAAGCACAAACAAAACCACAAACTCCCAAGCTCTCAAGCAAAAGCACAAAAAACACCACAAACCCCCAAACACAAGCACAAACAAAAACCACAAACTCCCAAACAAACAAGAAACAAAACAAACTCCCAAACACAAGCCCAACAAATACCACAAATTTCAAATCACAAGCGCAAAAACATTTGCAAAAATGCTGAGCTTTGACAACGGTCTGGTACGCCGCGGTGGCCTTCGGTCGGGTAGTCGTGGAAGGCGCCGTGGTCGAATGCAAGTCCAAAATCTCTCGTGGACGCGAACCCACTCCTTCACGTCCTTCTGGCTGAGTCGCCCCCGGGTGAAGTTCATGAGAGGTTTAACAACTTCTGGATTCAGTTGGAGCGCCATCGTCAGCAGGAAGCCAAGGTACTGCGGGGGCAGCGTGATGTTGTGCTCGGACAGCTTCCTGATAGCCAGCTCCCATCTTGAGAAGAACCCCTTGTGGCCCTCGTTCTTCTGCCACCTCACCGAGTAGGTGATCTTGAAGAGGCTGTTAAGCATGTCCTCGCGTTCATCATCGCGGTAAAGCTCCCAAGTATCCATCGCCTTGAGCAGTTGCTGGCCATTGTCCTTGGCCTTCATCCAGCTGTCGTTCTTCGCCAGATACTTCATGTCGTCAAACGGGACGCCGCTCAGGCTATGTAGCAGCATCGGTCCGCGGCTCTGGGGCTTCGTCTTCGTCGTCGCCAGCCACAGACGTGCTCTGATCAGGTAGTCCCTGAAAGGCGTCGTCGTGTCCCAAGTCGGAGGTGGACCCGCGTTACTGCGGCTGTCTCGGTCCTCGTCCTCCTCGTCGTCGTTGTCTTCATTCCTTCGTCGTCGCCCGGCCCAGCGGCGATTCAGAAACTGAAGAAACTGTCGATACTCAGCAGCATCGGTGGGTCTGGAGGCATCCCCGGCTCCTTGGCCGGCTTGAGCCCGCGGATCGAAGGGCTCGTCTGCTTCTTCATCGACGTCGCTGCAGGAACGGCTGCCATGGCTTAGGTTCTAGTGCAGGGTCGATCGGGTAGTACCCTTACTATCCCACGGATCGCACGAGGCTCCGCTACTACTGTTGCTGGTAGCAACAATGGCAACCCCAAAACACAGCATCAGGCCCGTTTCGTCGTGTGCAGTTGGAGCCACGTTTGTAGCGAAATGTTTGGTGAACTCCTGGCAGCAGCTTCCGATGTTAAGACGATTTGGGAAAGGCAAAACAGAACCGCAATAGGGTCACATGCGGAGGGACAGACTTGAAGACCGTTGCACTTCCGAGATTCAGATTTGCTTTGTGCAGGCCCCGAAGGCTGTGAATTTACTTGGGGTGCAGAGTTTAACTTGTGATTTGGTTTTAAGGTGTGTGTGTGTGTGTGTGTGTGTGTGTGTGGAAGGTTTCTCCTGCGCCTGTTTCAGTGCTGTGGATTGAGACTTTGGGGTTTGAAGGTTTTGGGTTCAGCTTGTGTGGTTTGCGCTTGGCGGGTATGTGAATTTATGTGAAGGGCAGGCTTACATTATGTGTTGATGCTCAGGTGCCCCTTTGCACGTCTCTCAAGCTAGCCATCTGGATCAGTTGCAGCCGAGATACCCGGTGTTTACTTCAGTGAACATTCCTAGATGGATTCTGGCTTAAAGTGTTTGGTGATCCCAAAGCCTCAAAAGTCATTACGCAAATCATGTACGTTGCATCAACATCGAGCATCCTGTCCTTACTGCTTGGGAGATCAAACTCAGACACCCGGAAACTAGAAAGCACTATTTACGGAAGTTTCCACAGGTGGTTTCTGAGGCCGGAACTGCGTACAGCGATCCCCAGCAAAGGTATCCGAACATGTTGCAGAACCTGCAAAACCTGTTCGAGCGCCATGGGCCCAGCCAGCTGTTTGGAGTTGCAGTTTCCGAAACACAGTTTGAAGTTGGCTTTTTGGAAGGCTTCAGATTCAGACCACCTTGGTTTTACTGTGGGTTTCTACAGTCTGAATCGTGAAGCCGAAACCCCGGCCTCCTAATCAGGGCCTATACGGAAGACCAAAATCCCGAACCTTGGGACCGAACTCCTGCTCGAGAGCCCTGAAACCATGTGAAGACTCTTTCGGATGCCGGAGTTGAAGGCCTGGGGTTGTTGGATAGCTCTTGAAAGGAAGTCTTGTTGAACCATGTGAGCCTTTGCTCGTGAACTCAAATCGTAAATTGGTAGTTTCTCAAAAGCAGCCGCACTCCAATAAACCCTTTAGAAATAGCACCATCACGTGCAAGCCACGGTGCAGAAACTAGTGGAAGAACCATTACGTCCTACTTGTCCTGTTGCAGCATTCTGTACACATATTACTGTTTGAGACACTCGTAATGACACATTTGCACCACATTCTTGCTTATGTATATCTGTATTTCTGTATTTCTGTATATATGTATATATGTATATATGTATATATGTATATATGTATATATGTATATATGTATGAGAGAGACACCTCTAGGGTATATTTAGCGCCTCGATTCCTCTATATATTTAAATATTTCAATTATTTTAATTATTTGGGATGGCGCGAGAACCCAAATAATTCAAATAATTCAAATACCC